TCCTATATATTTAATCTGGACTCAGATTAGCTGCACTGGATTTTTTTTTCCTTCTGCATCTAGCTTTATTACTAAAGTGCCATTAAATCATAAACGTCTGTCACCGTAATGCCAATGGCCACAGAGTTGCTGGTAGCTGATCAGTGAAGAGTCTGTCTCAGCTCACCCCAATTTCATTCATTCAACAATGCACTTAGCGAGAAACAGGATATCAGCAGCTAGTCAATCTGAGCCTTGAAAAACAACTCATGATAGCTGAAAGTTTGAATTTCAAAGGGAGTAAACCACAGAGAGAAAAAAACACCAATGTATTAATCAGAATCTGCTTCTAACCAGAAAAAAAACAAGTCTTATTCCGGATTTATCCAGGAAGAGTGATGAGAGATAGGCATTCTAGTTGAACATTTAATGTCAAAAAAAAAAAAAATTAAACATTGTACTATATTGTGGAAAAACAAAGAAACATGTTTCACCAATGTCATTTAAATCACCATCATCATCTGACATTATGTAGAGCTTTTAATCACTCCATTCCTATTTAACTATATGGAACAAAGTACTCAAACTGTTCAAAAGTTTCATACTAGTAGTAAAGAAAAATACTCTTTCTACTGAAACTGTCAAAATAATTTGAAAATGCAAAATACAACTTCTAAAATATATATTGGTCATACCATCAGAAAATGCTATTAATAAAGACCATGTGTTAAAAAAATTCTGCTTTTTTTTTAAACTCTATTTTGAAGATATTCTTTCCTGATAACCTAGTCTACTAAAAAGGTACCAGCACGTTGCTTTTGACCAGTCTGAGAAGCACTTCTTGCTACTTCAGATTAAATCTGTATAAATCACAGTTTCTATTTCTGGAAATATTGCAGTATCTTTTTTTAAGTCCTAGAAAGTGTTAAGGCAGCATTTCAAGTATATTTGGGATCTTGTAGACCATTTTGAAGCTGTCTGCCTAGCACAGCAGGAACCATTTGTACCACTAGCTGTTTTGCCTAGCAAATAATCAGTGAGCTCCTAAAAAAAATGCAGCCTTACCAACATGAGAGGAATTAGACCTTTTGCTCAGGAGGAAACTGTACTGCTTTCAGCTTCTGTTCATAGACTTAAAATTCCTTTCGCTTTTAGTCTCTGTCCCTTTGCACCTTCTGCAGCACTATGAAATTTTTAATATTAGTGATAAAATTGTTTAGCCCTGTTACACATGTTTATTTGCATCCATTCAAGGATCTCTGCAGGATGTAAAAATAATAGGATAAACAGTATAGCATTAGTAGTAACAGTAATGGTATCCTTTATGACTACATAAGTGTAATAACACAGAGGCAGAGCATAATTAATGTGGTACAGATACTGAAGCTTTAATCTTCTAAGATTAATAGTTTGTAAAATCTTGAAAACTACTTATTTTCCTTATGTATGTGATGAGCAGTATTGGTCCAAGTAGGTCTTAATAAGTGGTGATGGTGAATTTCTAATTAAGTTTGGCATAACTATTCTGGAAACTATTAAAGCATACATCGAAGGTGGGTTTATCAGGTCAGTTCCTCTGTCTGTGTGAGAACAAGCTTATGAGAATACAACGATCTAAGAGTTGATATGCCAAAAATAGTATCTGGGCACTAGAAAAAGTTGTAATGAACAGAAATTCAGGACTGCGCGACTACTGATGCTGGGATTGATTTTTCACTGTATTGTGTCAATGAATTGGCAAAAGAAACATGTTAAAGGATGATGAAACTTTTTAAAAGTCCATAAGTGATCAGAAATGGAAAACAGAAACATGAATGAAACCAAACTAAATATTTTAAATTTTTCACATGTCATTCATAGTTTGGGTAAGGTGCATACTCATAAGGTAGTGTCAATCTTTCTATCTGCACAACTGCAGAAAGTCCTGAAAATTTGATGGAAGTTGGGAAATTAGACGCAGAAAACAATTGCTTTATCTGCTAGGAGTATGGCCCAGTCATGATCCTAAAAAGAACTGATGACCACTGAATCTGTATGGGTTTAATTGTCTGTCTTCCCACTTCTGCCCAAATAAGGGAAAGTTTTGGAGGTTTTACAATGCCGTTTCCAACAGAACACAGAAGTTCTTGTGTAGATGATTTGTCCAGAAATCTCACAGTGTGCTACCTTAAAGTCTGACAGTACCAGGAACCTTCTCTAGCTGCTCTGACCCCACAGAAAGCCTACTCACAAATCGCTTTTGCAACATATTTTAATCCCTCACATTAACTGTAGTTCAAATGAGCTACCAGGCAGTCAAACCTTAATCTCAGCTAGCGGAAGGGGATCCCCTGGTTTTTTTTCTAGCATGACTCAATTAGGTAACAAGACAGAAAGAAAGAAGTGCAGAGACACAGAGAAATCCTGTCATCTGCCAGTTAAGAGGCTCCTGCCTTTAGGGGTTTTCCCTCCAGAGGTAGTGTGATCAATACAAAACTGTTAAACAATATGATGGGTTTGAACTCTTAGCTCAGAGAGATATATAGGAGCTGTGTTGGAGCTTCCCATGTCTTCTCAGAGTTTCTTTATAATTATTGTGCCTGTAGTAACACAGTCAAACTCAGGCTGAAATGTCTTTCCAGCAGATTTCTTCAGAATTATTCTGTCAGAAAAATGAAAACTGTATTTCTGTTGTTGATTACATGAAAATTAATCTGTGTGGAGCATCTAATAGGTGGTATCGTTACTTAAGATCAGAGAAAGCCCCCCTAAATTAACCTTTTTTCTTTTTGATATGTGGCTTGAAGATACACATGCAGTCATGTCTGTTTTTCATCAGAATATTTTCCCTAGCATCAGTATAAGAAACTCTGTTTTAATGGTAATGACAGTGTTTTGGTCTAAAAGATTGATTAGCTACCATGGAGACAAAGTTCATTTCTACCTCTTGATAGAAATTCTTAATTTCCCTTTATTAAAAATAATTGACTGATTTTAACTTCCTAAAAACTTTTCCTTAAGAAATAAAAAGGAAAGATAAATACGTTTGAAATTATGAGCGGGTTACTTTCTTGTTTGAGTTACACATTTTGTTGCCCAAAATATCCTTAAGAAGTCCTAATAAGTGTCCCCACTAATGTTCATAAAGCAGTTTACTTTATAAATTCAGAACCTGTTAATCTGATCCCCACCCAAAGCAGCAAGTTTTGAGGAGATGAAAGCCTTCATCCATTTCATTTAACCAACTGAATGCTATCAGGTTCTTCCTTTTGCACACACACCAGAGTAATCTATGGATTATTTTCTCACTGTTATATGCAATACCTTTCAAGCATAAACGTAAGTACATGCAAGTAAACTGTTTCACAACCTTTTATATTGTTTAAATATTTAGAGGTAGGAAGTGGTTTTCAGAGTTTCCACTTATTTTTTTCTTTTCTTGTTTTTAGCGGTAGTCCACTAGATTTTCATATAACTACTACTTGCATCCAACAACTGAGAATATGAGTTTCTTTTATTTTGCTATGAAAACAGCAGTATACTTCACATATATTTCTGAACAAGATTTCACAAGACCTCATTTTTATAAAATTCATCAGTATAAAATTAATTTTAAAAAAGTTTATGCTTTAAAATATTTAATGATTGATCAAGAAGCTATTGCTGTTATACTTCCAATGGAAATCATCTCAATTCTGACCATTCTTTATATACAGACAATCATTTAAAATCAGGTGTATTATGCCTATGGAGTATCCATCATACATTTTTTTTTGAGTTTCTTTAATTATCTCCAATATGCCACAGGAATTGTGGCATCAGCTTTAGTAAGGTAGATGGGTGGACAATTTCCCACACATATATCAGTAGAGTATATTTTTTTAATGTAAAGACACTGTGCCACAGATGAAATTTGACATTGCTAGAAAGAAAAAAAAGGTATGTATGTATGTATTTCAGGCATGGTTCATAAATAAATACTTTTGCCCTACCATAACAGGTGACAACTTTAACTCAAGAAGTCTCACAATTACGTAAAGATATGAAGAATGTGATGCACCTTCTGGAGAACCTGCTCACATCCCAGAAGCCTCCAGGATTCTGTGCTGTGCACAGCATATCTCGAAGTACCACACTGGATAGTCTGCAGTCTCAAATGGCTTGGACTACACATCAGCCTTGCTCACGCATGCAAGCTGGGAACTTCACCTGCACCAAAGCACAACTTTGCCGTGGAAACACGTTATGTGACATTTGGAATACAGATCTGTCCTCTGTAGGCAGCAGTCCCCAAAGGACTGAACCCAACCTGCAAAATTCTATGGATGGTGAATTTTGTTATACAATGGGCCTGCAAAATTCTCCCTCACAGTATCAGGTAATTCAGAAAGACAATCTGCAATTTTTAAGATGCACCTCTCCCCATTCAGACACTACCCTGACTCCTCTTCAGTCTATTTCAGCAACTCTTTCTCCTTCGGTATGCTCTTCATCAGAGACATCATTACACCTCGTGCTGCCCAGCAGATCTGAAGAAGGTAGCTTTAGCCAAGGAGCAATCAGTTCACTAAGCCTTGAGAACCTGCCAGGATCGTGGGACCTGGAAGGAACAGCCAGAGTAACTTCTGCACAGACCTCTGATTTCCCAATAGACATTGTGACAAGCACAAAGGATGTTAAAGATAAAGATTACCAAGCCATAGATGTATGAGAAACAGTGAAGTGGTACTCAAAGCATGTTCCACAGCAGCCAGTTTTAAATTTAGAGAGTACTGCATGACTGCTTTATTTGATCTCTTTTTTGGCAATCATGGAGGTTACAAACATGAAAATTCAGATTTATAGAAAGTAAGAGAAGATAATGTTGGTTCATACTATAGGAAAAACAATAAATTTCTAGATTCTAGAAGCATGTTGAAAAACATTTTGAATACAGATATAACTTACTTGTCTGTTTGACAGACTATTGTGATAGTCCAAAGACCCTGAGGGTCAGAGTAGCTGGAAGTCTAGGACAAAGAACTGTCATGGGTGGCTTTTGTTCATCAAAGCAAAGGTTTTCCCTGAGTGTCTGACTGTTGTTCCCAAACAATATCTATGGCATTGTTTGCTTCAGGTGATCGTGGGTCCTGCTGGTCTTTTTGTCAGTTCTGTGAAGGCAAAGGGACAATATTCGCTGCATGTCATCTAGACAATCAACCAAATAGAGCTGCTAGAGAGTGGTTAGTTGCTGCACGTTATTTGTCATGTAAATGAAACCTCTTGATTTATCTAAAAATACTATTTTTATATACTTGGTATGAAACGTACTTAAAAAGGATTTAAAATATTTATAAAAAGAGTAAGAGTTTGGTTTCATTTTGGTAAAAGCTTGCAGTTTTAACAAAAAATGCACTACCATCATGTATTAGATCAAATACTATTTATTGTTAAGATATTATGTAGTTTACAAATGGATTCGCTTTTATGTGCATGCAATTTGCAATGAATGTATTCATTCTGGTGAAATACAAATAAATTAAGGTATTATTTTATTTAAAAAAATAAAACAGCTGGAATGTTGTATCCTATAATAAGCTATCACTACTTAAAAAACAAGGTGTTATACTGATAACATTAAGTACTCTTGGTTTGTGTTTTACTATTGCACTGTCATTTAGAAGACCAAGTCAACATTTTACAAGACATCCCTGTTTTGGGATATTATACCTAGATAAGAAAATTAAGAGGGATGAAAACCATTGAGCAAAATAAGGAATATTAAAGGAGAAAATTACAATGCTTTAGTCAGAATCAAATAACTTAAAATAGTTTTTTATTATTTATTTGATGATTTTTTACTTATATCTGTAAAAACTATCTTTGACCTATAGTCAAGAAAAAAAAAAGATACTATAGGTTTGGCAAATTATTTAATCCAGAAACAGATTTAATTCCCAAGGGATTTTTTTTTCCAGTATTTATATACAAGAAATATATTGATACTGTGCAACCAGGGCAACTGCCTTCTTTTTTTCCACTGTAATTTTGATTTATACATTTAAAGATGCTCAGTATGCAACATTTTTACATGTTCTTTAGCAAGCTTTCTAAAAAGACCATGCTTATAACCCAAAATATGTGTCTTAAAATGGATAAGTAAATTAAGTTTCATTTAATAATCAATGTAAAGGGTGGTTATCAAATTAAATTTTTACAGAGCACAGATTTATGTTTAACTTCCTCAAGAGTTTTTGGGTTTTTTTATGAAAACTTCAAAGACTAAGTTAATTATTAACATTTGGACATGTACAGGAACACAAATCCCAGATGATACTCTGTGCCCAACTTACATCCTTTCACATCCATTTTCCCACTGGTACAAATTAGAGACAGAGTGTCATCTCTCTGTTTGAGCTACCTGAATTTTGTCAGTGTCTACACTTCAACATGAATGTTTTTAAAAAGGGTTTCTTACTTTCCCTCTCTTCCAGTTTTTGCTTAGTTTAAGGTTAAATAGAGAAATGCTGGTTAAATGAGGCATATCCCAGAAATAAAATAAAAAAAAATTAAAACAAAACAAACAAAACCAAAACCAAACCAACCAACCAAAAAACAAATAGTAGCAAATATAGTAACAAAGACAAGCTTGTGATATTTCTGCAAACAATCCCGGTTTGTCTGTAGCTACCTGCCATCTCCCACAGTGCCAAGCAGGAGGCTGGGGCTGGGGGAGGCTGCCTGCTCTCCGCACCCACGGCAGGTGCACGCTGGCAGAGCCCCATTTGCCAGAAGCTCAGTGGTTGTGTGGCACTGCCTTGCCTCAGCAGCCAGGCAGCACACCTTACAGCCATGGCCCTCTCCTGTGCTCACCATGAAGGACAGATGCTGGTTCCTTGGGATGCACAGGCACATGCAGCACAGCTGTCCACAAATCCTCATTCTTCACTGCCACGCTCTTCATACCACACAAGATAACTTGTCCTCAAACTATTGTATTAATGAAATACGCAGGCTAATCTAAGCTCACCATATCCCAGCTATTGACTGGGGCTGCACAAGCATAAGGTTGTCTAACATGCTTAGTTCCCAATATCATTTAACAATTTCCATTACATATAAAAATTGACAGCAGTGTTTGCTTTCTCATTTTATGATATATAAAGCATTATGTACATGCTTGAAAGTTTTGACATTGTTTTATTATTTTCCAGTATAAACACTGGTGTCATAAGATTAAAAATAGATGGGGGGTTTTTCTGGAGTTTTTGTGTTAGTTCTCTACGAAAGTTTAAAAAGATCTGTGCAAACACCAAAAAACGACTTTGCATAAATAGCCATAACTTTACTGTACATTTAATTCTTCAATAAAAAAAATGCATGTGCACTAATTGAGAATAAATAGCACCAGGATATATGTCCTAAGTAGCTCCTTGTTTCTGCAGCTGTCAAACACATCCTAAACAAAGCTGGCAAACACTATGTCATTTGTACTGGCTATAGTTTCAAGGAATTTACCTGAATTGCACAGACTGTAAGATGGGCATCACACAGGTGAGCATACTGCCTCCCAGGGAAAAGCTCAAGCAACTTCAGACAGGACAAGTGTTCATTTCAGGTGTTATGGTTTAACCCCAGCCAGCACCAAGCCCCATGCAACCACTCACTTCCCTCATGTCAGAATAGGGGAGAGAATTGGAAAAGTAAAATCTGGAAAACTCATCCATTGAGATAAAAATAGTTTAATAGGAAAAGCAAAAGCTGGGTATGCAAGCAAAGAAAAACAAGGATTCATTCACCACTACTCATGGGCAGGCAGGCGTTCAGCCATTTCCAAGAGAGCAGGGCTCAATCATGCACAAGGGTAAATTGGGAAGACAAATGCCATCACTCCAAATATCCCTCCCCGCCTTTTTCTTCCCGCCGCTTTAATGCACTGAACATGACACTATACAACATGGAATATCCCTTGGATCTGTTGGAGTCAGCTGTCCTGGCTTGTGTCTCCTCCCAACTTTTTGTGCACCACCAACTTCCTCACTGGTGGATGGGGTGAGGAGCAGAAAATGCCTTGGCTCTGTGTAAACACTGCTCAGCAATAACAAAACCACTTCTATATTATCAACTCTGTTTCCAGTACAAATCCAAACCATTGCCCCATACCAGCTGCTGTGAAGAAGGTTAACTCAATGCCAGCCAAAACTAGAACACCTTGTCCAAAATCAAATAAGGAAAGAGGTCAGTAAAACAGAAATCTGGACTCGAAGGGTTGTTCTGTTTTAAACTCCCTGACACCATTATATTATGAAAGTCCCAGAAAAAGAATCCCCAAAGCAGGTTTTATTGAAAAATATCTGCAACCAATGCAGCAAATTTCAGTTTTGAAGTTAAAATGGCAATTCATAGGGACAAATGTGAAGGCATATACATTTGGAATGGAATGGTAATTTCCAAGCAGGATTACCATGAGCATATTAGTTCTACACACAGAGTGGCCATTAAGGATACCTGGGATTGAAACAACAACCACTGTAATATTCATGTCACCCTCCAAAGGTACTCAGTATGAACATCAATACGAGCATCCTATACCCTAAAATCCAGCTGCCCAGCTCAGACAATTTACTTTATTTCTTTTTACACTAAGCTTTAAAAAATAGAATTATTTTTTGTTCAGGATTGTTCTTCCCATCTAATTCTGCATCAATTTACTTCCCAAATTTGCTAAATTTTCTTCCTTTCTTGCATTTTCCATCAGTCAGTTTCTTCTTCTATACAGTAACTGTAACTTCTTTTCCCCTCCCTTTTTTATTTACTTTTCCCCTCCTTTTTTTTCCCATCACTCATTCAGTTCTATATCCCTTTTATAACTTCATCAAACTCAGCCATGTCTTTCCTCATTTCATGGTGATTTTTCTGTTAAGAATCATCCTAGGTCTGCCACTAATGAACTAAATGGTTACTAAACTCAATCATGCAACAGGACAGCATATTTAGTCTCTATCAACAGTCAAACAGTAAACCACCAGTCTCTAACCAAAATCTCTTGCACTACTATATTCTTACAATGCTGCAGTCACCTCCACTGGCAATGGAAAAAAATTTGAAAAAAATAAAGACACACGGAAAAATAGAAAAAAAAAAAAAAGAAAAGTAGGAAACCCTACTAGCTTTTTATAACTTCAGATATATTATTAAAGACGTGTATTTGTGTTGTGCTCATGGTAACTACGAGATTCAATTTAAGAAACACAGCTTACCATAAATTCTGCATATACTCCTTGTTTTTTTACAAGTCATACCGAGCTATTGTGATAACCTTGCTTTGACATTGCTTGGTTATCTACCACAAATAATTTACTCTCTAATTAGTCCATCTGCTAATTACACCTGAGATTTCAAAATATTTTCCTTTACGAGGCAATTTTGTAGCACACTGCATCAATAGTCTCACCTGGTAGTTTGTAAAAAATCCAGTGTTTCACAAATTAAGTTTTGGGATGCAACAAACTGTTCTCAACCTTTTCTACACCTTCTTCCCTTAACCTGAAAGCACTTGGTTTCCACATCCCTCTTAGTGGGACACATTTTAGATGTTTCGTGCTGCTGGCACTACCACAGGAAGTACACAATCACGTACCCACGTTCTAGAAAAAGACTTCTAACAACTTACCTCAGCCTTGAAAGAATGAGGTTGTAGCTGGGGCTTTAGGCAGCAGCTGAGTGAGCAATAAGAAAAGGATAAGGGCTGGTGCTTGATTTTCCGGCTCCCTCTCCTGCTTCAGTAAGAGGAATTTGCACAGCTGTCATCAATTCCAGAAGCCTACATGGTACTAAGTCTTCAATCAGAAAATCAAATATTTTATCACAAGAAATCTAAGCCCATCTCCTTTAGTACCTGCAAATAGTTAAATTCTGTTAAAAAAACCTGCATAGCTGGAAGTTTCTTAGATGATGCTGCACACAGAATCAGTTTTATCCTTTCGAAGTTGAGCACAGAAATCATATCATCATTCCCAAACCTGCCACTGACCTCCTCTGTACTTCATAAAATTCTCTCCCCAGTCTCTTCATTTCTCTTACCACACACTCTCAGTGGCAACAACAATGACAAGAAACAAAAATTTCCAGCTTCAAAACCACAAAGAAATGCCACAGATCTGATCTTTTCATTTAAAGAAAATGGTTAATGAAAGGAAAATTTTATTTCCTATGTACCTTGATAGCTGAGTTTCCCAGTCTTTGGAAATCTCTCAAAAGAAGAAAGTTTTTGAAGGTTAAGATTTTAAAGACTCATGCCAATCGGAATTTGGAACCACAGGAGTTGTGCAAGAAGAAAAGCAGTACTTTCCTCTTTCAAGTTGTTTTAGAGTTTAATATTTACTATGTACTTTTACCTTTGTGCCTTGATAGTGTGTTTTAAGTCTAGGCATTTATTTGTGGGAGATTTAACACTTGAATTCATTCTCTCTTCGCAGATCTTCTGAAACTTGCTAAATTTTTGCCATGGTAAATTCAAAGGTCTTATACATGACCAAGAAATGGCCTGGTACAACAAAGGAAAGATAGAAAAAACAAGAATAGTAGTTCTTTATCTTCATTGACACCAAGTTGTACAAATTATGTATTACAATGGTAAATGGCTAGTATGTTTTAAACTATAGAATAAAATACCAACAGAACTAATCTCACATGAAATAAATGTTCCATTACCTGGCTTATGAGAAGCATCGAAAAGAAACATTTCCTCAGTTTTCCAATTTTCTTATCCTGGATATTTTGTTATAACCTTACAGATTCAAAACACTCTGATAAGGTCCCTAAAAGTTACAACTTCAGGCAACTTTTTTAATTATTCTTTTTATACTCCCCTTTGTTCTATTATATTGATTTCTCCCAAAATGTAAGGGCTAGAGGCAGTGCAGGAGTTAATTAGCACTGTTGTAAATGATAACTTTAGAAACTACTACACTAAGGACCCTGTGGCATCACAAGCATCACAAAGAAAATGCTCAGAAAAAGGCAAAACTAGAGTTTGCTCAGAAGAATCCTAGAGTCTTACAAAACAATAGCGGAAGTATTAAGTAAATCAACAAAGTAGCAGAAGATTTCTCATGGAAATGTGCAAATATAAAGAAGGACCTTTTTTAAAATTAAAAGCTCACCGGCCTTCACATTTAGCAGTCCACACATTGTCAGGATTGAGAACAGTCAGTGCAAATTTCCAGATGTCTAAGTCCACCTTATCTGCACTTAAATTTCACATTTCATATGAAGTGGGTGATGCTTCATGTATGTGTTCACCTTGTCCTGGCCTACTTGTTAATTATTATGATTCCTTATTTTTAGCATATTCTACCTCTGATCTCTTCATGCAATTAAATGAACTACATCTTCCTTTGCTCACCCTGATACAATACAAGATAACTGAGTTACCCACGTCACTTGGAGATTTTCTTCTTCATTAAAGAAGAAGAAGAATGCACATTAAAGATTTTGCTTCTTGTTCAAAAAAATCAAAGCTTCCTTCAAGAAGGAGAAAAAAACCCTCACCCACTGTTAACCACCCTATGTACAAACAATCAGATCCCACGCACTGGTTTGTTTTTGACTCTGCAGTCAGACATGACAAAAACAGCAGCACCCTGAGAAAAATTGGAAGCACAAGCCTCAATAGGCAGTAACTTTACAGACTAATTATGCCTTTTTAAAGGCCAACATTGTCAATCATTTACTTCCTAAGTTTCCTTGCATGATTTTGTAACTTAACACATATATCTAGTGCTGCTGGATTCTTTCCCACCCCTACATGCAATGATCCACAGAAATACAGCTCATATTCTTACTAGAAAAATGCCAATGTTATTTTAGTAACCATGCAAATGAATTTTAACCAGAATTTTAAAACCTGTAGTATGGAAAAAAAATTAATTTATTGCATTATACTTGTTTAAAGGAATGCAGAATGATAACCACACAATGGAAAATATTTTTCGTCTCTCTCCTGTTAGTCTCAAAATGTTTTCCAACAGTAAGTAACAAAATTCTCTTCTGCATCATTACTTACAATGAAATTTTGGGAGAGGGGGGCATGACATGGGCTGGACATGAACACCACCAACAACGCACATGTTCTTTGAATGCTAGACTATCTCATAACAACATTTTAAAATGTTACTGTTGTCAAGTAGCTGTTGCATGTCTAAAGATGTGCAATCACCTGCTTATTTTTTTCACATAGAAAATTACCAGTTTGCACTACAGATTTGCCACAGAATCTTTGATGAATGTATATATAGAGTGTACTAATAGCTACTGGAACTTGTACCACATCAGAGAATCTTCCTTATTCCCTTCCTCTCCAACATGAGGCAAAATGATTTTTTTTAAAAAAAGAAAATTTCTAGTTAGTCTTTTGTAAAACATTATAATTTCATTAGTATCCTTAATAGTCTCCTTTAGGACTAAGTTATCTCGATAAACAGCAGCAACAAGACAAGTATAGAGCATCCAAGGTGAGAATCTACCTATTCCTGATGCATACCGGTATGCAAACATAAGCGTTCTTTCAACTGTTGGTAAGACCAGAGTCCTTCAGCAACCAGCTGTTATGAAAAGCTTGTTTCTATACAGCTACTTACTAGCAAAAAAATGAAACAGGAGATTGTAAAAACTCTCAGGGACATTTAATAATATCCTCACTAGAGCCATAGCACAGCACACAGTCTTTTGAAGTGTTGGTCGCCCTTTGCTTCAATAAGAAAATTGTATTTGAGAATAAATGGCATCATATGGAGCTCAGTTTTGCAATTATTCACATTGCAGTAGAAACTGGACTACCTAAAAGAGTTCAGAGGTCTGTTGTATTCATCACAGTATATGGAGATAATACAAAGTTTGGAGAGCTTTCAACCTAATAGAAAAAGAAGTAGCACAAAGAAGAGAAAAAGGATCATGAAAAATTTATCCAAGGTCCCACAATGACTTGCAGGGAGGCAGGAGCAGAACAGCAGGTTGCCTGGTCTTGGGTTCCTCTGCCTAGTCTGGCATCAGCTGGCAGGGGTGGACTCCCTGCCTGCCCCACTGCCTGACAGTGGGGGAGCACTGTGAGCTGCACCAGGAAACAGAGCTCTGGAAGAGCAGAAAGTCTTTCCAAGCACTCATGCTGAAGGATGCCCAGCACTATGCTTTGTACAAAGAGTACCTACAAATGAGACATATGGCAGAGTTGTCTGTGGTGAGGACTACATAGCACAGCAATTTCTGTAGCTGTACTTATTAAGTTTCTGAGAGCAGGTGCTTGAATTATACCAGCCAGTTTGATAATTAATTAGCCTCTTCTTGTGTGCAAGGTAGAAAAAATTGAAGTCTCTGAAGGACTTGCATAAGGTTTATATCACACCTGCAATCTCAGGTGAGCAGAACGGCGGAGCAGACCTTTCCCTTAAACTGCCATCAGACATAAAAATCACATCTGAACAACACCTGTGAATTTTAGTGCCTGTGAGGATAAAGTTTGCCTCAGTCAAGTATTTTCAGGGGCAAGAAGGTAGACAATGTGTTCCAGCAATACACAGTACACCTGCTGACTCTGCACGTACAGCAAGCCTCACTGCTGTCACAGTCAGCCTGGCAACCACAGGCAGTCAAGTCATTGAGAGACATTTTACATCCTGTGCTTTCACTTCTTCTGTACCTTTTCCCCCAGTCATTGTGCAAGCAGTAGTTGGAAGACCCCAGACCCTATCTGAAACCAGAAACAAGCTATAGCTTGGGAAACACTATAATCAAAACTAAACAAACAAGGGGGGGAGGAAGGAAAATTTGTTCAATGTTGCCTCTCAGTGTATTTTTTGTATGAGTTAATGTACACTGAGGCACTCAACCAGGTAAGGAAAAAGCTAATGGCTTTGGAATGGGAACAGGTTCTCCCAAAATCAGCAGCAATTATGTCCTTTACAATTATTTACAGCCAACATTCATGTTTGAAATCAGAACAAATTCAACATTGTTAACAGAGCTGGATGACTCACTGTTTAACTAATTTGCCAAGTGGTGCTGAATAGGCCAACATAAACCCAAATTCTTGTGCGGATGAAGATGCTAAAACCGGAACCTGCCTCTAAAAACATTATTCTCTTTCTAGGAATATAGAGTTTAGATATTTTGTTATATCTTTGATTTGAAGAAAAGCAACTTAGGTTCAACCAGACTGTCATATGCATATCCTTTCAGGCTCTTATTTTCTGCTTAATTTAAACTCTCTACATATAGCCAGTTGGTTCAAGGTTACCTTCTGCAATACCCCGGTTAGAAGTCCAAAATAGACCTGGTACAGGACCTTCCTCTTGGTTTTTTTTCAGTGACCATTTGGTGATCAAATCTGCAAGCTGTTGTCTCTCCAACATGTTTTTTGCCTACCACTGTTAGTGGCATTTGTTCTTCAAACTATATTTGAGATGTGAAAGTTTCCCACAGTGAAAGAGTCCCCAGTTCTCTTTCTTTCTCACAAATAACAGCACTGAACTTTCCAGTCACATACAAATCTAACCTAGAGAGTTTATGACAAATTCCCAATATTTTTGGGGTCCCTTGCCAACTCTAAGCTGAGTTCTGCAGGGTGGAAGAACATATTTTTTTTTCAGTCATAAATGTCAGTGGCAGAAACTAATCTTTTTTTCCTTAACTACAGCTTTATTGTATTTCTCCAGCCAGGGTATGACTTTCATCCAGCCTGAGCTTCCCTGAGTGAACTCTTAATTCTTTCTATTGATGTGAATCCATTTTCACTTTCTACTTTTCCATTACTCTGTTTTAAACCAGAATGTGGTGACTTAGAAATAACCTTTTTCCTCTCCACAGGACAGTTTTATGATCCTGAGCTTGTATTGTTTTATCTTGTGTAAATTTTGTCATGTGAGCAACATTGGTATAAAATAAATGGCTTAATTGCAAGATAAAAGGAATTCATTGTCCTCTTCAGATTCAGCTAAATATTAAAACTGCTGATCCACACAGAGTGTAAATGTATTATTTTTACATTGGTGCCAAATGAACACTAGTTTTATTATTCATTGTATGCATGCTAGGTGTTACAGACTTAATTTATGACACAGGTGCAAGGTGGCCTGGAACAATGTGCTTTGCAAATAATGAATATGAAAAGGCCATGAATTTTGGTTTGCTATTGTTCTTATTAATAAATAAAGAAGCCCCCAGAACAGTGGAAAGCAGACAAAGTAGCTCATGATGATTTATTGCTGGCTAGAAAACAATTAACAAGAAAACCCTATAAAACAACAACCAAAACCAG